TCACAGGTAAGGCGGCATCACCAAAAAAGCAAAGAACAAACACCAATAACAGCCAAGAACATCAACATCAAAGCATCATCATGACATCATTACAAGAACGTCGTAACATTAATTACAAATTTAAACGTTTGCAATAAAAACGTCACAAAAACCTGAAATTTCAGACATAATATTGCGAAAAATCAACTAAGACATGGACATTTGGCTCCAGGTGAATGACCATGGCTCCCAGTTCTAGCATGCGGTGGTCATCAGGTCATCAGAACATCTTGGTAGCATCAACACCAGTCACGAATCAACCAGACCATGTATATAAATAACATATTGATGATAATTTGAAAAATTTTGTAATTTTCAAACTTTCAACTGTTGAATTAGATGAGGCAAAATGATTTGGCGTTTAATCATTCCAATTCAATTTTTAACCTTTATTTTTTAATATTAAATCAATTAAACCAGTTTTGTTTTTTTATATAAAATTGAAAAGCTAATTTTGAAAAAATAATTTAAAAAACACAAAAGAGGAAATAAAAAAATGAAATTAAACAGCTCAGCTGCTAAGCTCTCAATATTAAATTACTCCAAAATTATGATGAATTAAAATTTTAAATAGTTACCAAATTGAAATGAATCATGTCTCTTATTAGTTATAATAATTAATATATCTGAATTATGCAGTCGAAAATTGAAAATAAAATCACTTAAAATGAACATCTACTGTTGCAGTTTAAACCAGCAAGTAGCTACAAAATCTTTCATTTTTCCAAATCAATCAAAAAAAAACAATGAAGCTAATAAAACAGATGCAACAAGTTCTATTTAAAATTAATTAATTAATTAAAATACATAATATAAACAATTATCAAGTATCAGCGGTCATTTAAATTATTAATTCAATTAAAAATTGATGAATTGTTTCAAAGCACATAGCATGGGGTCTAAAAAATCTCTTCGGATCGACAATCTTCGTACTATTTTACTTAGAAATAATTTGTTTTAATAATAATAATTCGAACAAAAAATTCATAAAATAGGATATTACATCCAATCTGAAAATTTTACTATTGACTGGATTAGCAGAGTGGTTGGAAAAAGGTTGCAGTGCGTGGAGAGAAGATGAGATGAGATCAGACGTACCACTCTTTAACGTCTGCCTTTTTCCCGCTCGCTGTCGGTGGCTTCTTTGACTTTCCACACCCACCATCACCTCCATCTAAATTGTTACAACTTCTGCTGTCCATGTTATCGTTATTATTATTATTTTTATTATTGTTGTTGCTGTTGTTAATGTTGTTATAATGATCTCCATTGATGTTGTCGTCGTTGTTGTTGTTGATGTTACTGTTGACGTTGTTTGTTGTCGCGATGCCCTCTCCTCCTCCTTCCGGAAATTCATAACTAGTCACGTGAGGCGCATCTTCATTGGTCGGAAAGTTAAGTTGCTGCTGCTGCTGAAGATGCTGTGAGTTATTGGAGTGGTTATTTTTATTCTTGTCAGCTGCAGTTAATTTATTTGGAGGAGAAGCGCCAGAGTTGAACTGTTGCAGTTTATTCTTCTTAATTTGTACACCCTTCCTATTGTACTTAAGTACAGCATAGCCGAGTACGGCCATGAGAATGATGATGCCAGCCGCAATGCCACCAATCAAAACTACATTCATGGCGAGGCTGGTGTTTAAAGTTCTATCAACGTCCAAGTGCACTGCTGGACTCATGTGTGGCCGTTGTGGCTGCTGGCGGTGGTGATATTTTTGTGGTGATGTTGTCGTCGTCGTCGATGTTGTTGTTAGTGTTTCTAATGTCGTTGTGAAGGTTGCAGTTGTTGTCGCTGCTTGCAGTGATGCTGGAGATTTTGTTTTATGTGTTGATTTCATGGTGATTTTGTTTTTGTTGTGTTTGATTTTGTTGTTGTTGTTGTTTTTGCGTATGTTGTTTGTTGATGACGGAACAGATGCATCAAAGTCATCATGTTCATCCTCATCTTCATCGTTGTTCTTCACGTAGGTCTCATCATCATTTTCATCACCATCGTTGTTATCACTATCATCATCATCATCGTCATCGTCATCATCATCGTCATCGTCATAATGTATTTGTTTATTGAAAGGTTTGATGCCTGAATAGTAATCAGTATCTTCGTTATAACTGGATTCAAGATCATTGTCATAATCAGCGTTATTAATTTTATTATTTTTATTATTATTTTTTATTTTATTATTATTATTCAAACTGTTATTTGGTTTGTTGATTTTGGTTTGATGATATATTCTATTGACATTGTTGTTATTGTTGTCGTTGCTTGTGGCTAGGCTTGAAATTTGTTTGTTTCGATTGTTGTTGTTGTTGTATTTGTGATTGTTGTTGTTGATGTTGTTAGTCTTTTTGTTGTCCTCAGTTACGTTGTTGTTGTTTTCGTTTCTGTTGTCTCTGGGGATTTAAATTTTGCAAAGTTACAAATTTGTTATTCAAAATTAAAAAAATAGCATCTCGGATGGACAGATGTTTATAAAGTTGTTGTATGAATGCCGTATAAATGTTTCATTAATAAGTTGGCTGACATTAACAATGACAAACACGAAACATTATTAAGAATTACTACAGGGAAAAATTTACAACAACTATGACGAATGAAATAAATGCGTAGAAATTAACAAAGGTATTGAATCAATGATTATAAAGAGTTAACATTAACTATATTTTACTGATCATTTACTATTAAGTATAAAAATAACAATTGGTCATTTTTACGCTAAAGGACTATACAATAAATTATACAATAATAAGACTTTTATAATAAATTACTTTCTTTTGCTGTTAAGGCTTGCGTAAATGAGGTACTCTGTGGAATTGTTACGTGATGATGACGAAGAAGATGAAGATGAAGATGACAAATTTTTCGTAGGTGAGTTGGTATTTGTGCCAGGACGAGTTTTTCCGTTAGTAGAATTTCTGACAAAAAAAATTTATGTAGTTTTAATTTGCTATTAAGTTTTTATTATCAATTTTTTTTTCTCTATTTGTCTTAACAAAGGTTATTAATTTAAAAAAAAATCACACATTGAAAATATGCTTGTTAACAGAATGATGAATAATTAGTTACCCGTCGTTACATGATTTTCTATAAAACTATCCTTAAAAATAAAATCAATCATGAACATCAGATATAATATTAACAAACAATTTTCCCAAATTGAAAAATGAAATAAATTAAAAAAGACTTGATGAAGTTGAAGAGAGATTCCTTGAAGACTTTCACATCTCCATCAATTTTGATCCTATCATGGTTTAGTAGTGCCAGGTCCAACACACGCATCTTGTTCACTGTGAAACCTGGCGAGTACATTTCAATTTATTAATTTGAATTTCTTCGAGACGTCTCTGAATTATTCCTTAATAATAATATTTGACTTTCAAATTTGCTCAAATTTGTGTAAAATCGGTTATACAACAAAAAAAAAAAGAAACATCACGTCAACAAAGCGATGACATCACCAAAACTGACCTGCAATGACACCATTGAAGCTAAGGTGGTCATCCTTATGGTCAGTGTTGTGTCCCAACGTTATTCTGGACATGTCGTTGAATAAGGACTCTACATTATCTAAATGTTATCGTGTGTGCGTGTTTGTGTGCGTGTGTGCGTGTGTATGTGTGTGCGTGTGAATAATATTAAAATATGGGCACTAAAAAATGGCGCCTGCCCCAAAAAACTTGAAATTATTATAATATAGATATATACTTTGTTTTTGAGCGTACAAAAGTACAAAGAATTTTTATAAAAACAAATTTTTATAAATACAGATAATATCTGTAGTACGGAACTAATAATATTTTAGCCTAGAATTAAAATAATATTAGTCGACCAAAAATGGCAGGGGTGTCACGTGGCTAATCTCGAAGAATTGTTGTGACGATGATGAGGATAATGAGAATGATGAAGATGGTGAAGATGATGAGAATGATGAGAATGGTGGTAGTAGCGATGATGATAGTTCTGAGAATAAAAACGATGATGAAAATGATGATGACGACGACGGTAAGGATGATGATGGTGATACTGATGATAATTATGACGAAATAAAAAAGATAATAATACCACCGAAATAAATGATGATGATTACGATGACGAAGTTTTTCACGAATATTTTCCCGGTGAAGATGATGGAATAGAAAAAAAATTTTTCTCTCTTAGAGAAGCACACTGACGAGACGTGCAACCACAACGACACCGACGCACATTGCAAAACGGAAGATTATAATTAAATGGAAACACGTGTTTGCCATTAAGCAGATTTGAGAAAGCGTGCGAAGAACTGAAAAAGGTGAGAGAAAAGCAAAGCTAAATAGAATCTCTTTAGAACCATCAGGTGTCACTACATGCAGTGCGCAAACATGTAACGCGCGCGCACACACAGACGCGCATTCACACATACACACAAAGACACACATACACACACCCACAACACACATACACACACACAAACTCACATGCATGCATACAGACAGACTGTACAGACAGACTAATACAGACGTATAAACACAGACGCATAAGGGGTCCAAGCATACATACCAACAAACATTTCACATGTGAATAATATCAATGAAACAAAACAAATTACTTCTGCTTACGCCATCTTCATTGTATCCTGAAAGCGATTTAAATGATGATGTCAATGATGATAAAAATGAAATGATGATGATGGTAACAATAGAATTGATGATAGTTAAAATTAATGATTAGGCAACGAATAGTAGATTAAAATTTGTAATACACCCAAAGAAGTATTGTTAATAATTCAAATCGATACTTTTTCAGTTCATGATTATTTTTTTATTCAATAAAAATATAATAAAGTAGTGTAATTCCGTTGACGTTAAAAAGCTGAAATCATTCCAACGTTATTATTGTTATTATTTTATTTCTTCATTTTATTTAGTAATTATTTAAACTCTCTTCTTAGATTTACTACATTTCTAACTTTTTATTCATATTTGAAGTTTTAAGAAAATAAAATACAAATGTTCCCATTATTATTATTATTACCATCATCACCATCATCATTGTCGTCATCATCGTCGTCGTCGTCATCATCACCTTGCGGTTGTTTGGGCTGAGGCATGTGGTCATCGACCTTGAGAGTTGCATTGGGACCAATCCTGACGAAGTTGATCACGTGGTACTTGCCGTCGTCGATCCTGTGGAAGAATAGTCCAACCGGAAGCTGCTCATTGGCCACGTCGTAAATGATCATCAGATGACCGTCATCCTGTCACGTGTGATTGAAAGGAGGTGATGAATCGGATGACGTAATTGGTGATGTGCCGTTTGTTGTTTGGATGGTTATTCTATGGTTATTCATAATTTGTTTTGTTGTTTTGGAGAAACAAATTATTATGCCTGTTAATTGCGTTTTGTTGATTGATCTTGGAAATGGAAAATTTTTGAATAAAATTGCTGCCCAGTTTGTAATAATTTGGTTTTCAAAGAAAAACTTTCATGATAAATTTGAAGGGAGTTGAAGCAAGACATGCCTAAGCGATGTTCTCTACGTAGTTGTTGGTTCATTAGAAACTTGGTTTGATATTTCAAAGTTTATTTTTGTCAACAAATTAAATATTTCAGTAATTTCCTTTACATAAAAATTGGTTTTATCACTTTTATTGAAAGAAGTTCATAAAAAATTATTGGTTTTATCACTTTTATTGAAAGAAGTTCATAAAAAATTATTGAGCCAAAATTCAAAATTTAATGACAGTTTTCCACAAGTGTTCTTGTGCAGCAATAGAAAGAGAGAGAGAAAGAGAGAGAGAGAGAGAGAGAGAGAGAGAGAGAGAGAGGAGAGAGAGCACAACCAAACTCAAAGAAAGATAACCAAATAACGTTTGCACACTAACAATGATGGCTTCGATGAAATCTCGTGACGTGTTGCTACTCAGTCGCCACAAGTTCGCATCTGATTGGTTGGTGATGATGCCAAACACGATGACGTCAACGCTGGTTGTCGTCCAATCACGTTCAGGGAGATCCAATGTCAACGTCGAAGGCCGCTTGTCACTTTTGGAGTTGAACTGGTAGGCAATGCTTTCTGTTTTGTTTTGTGTGGTGAAGTATGGTGTGGTGTGGCGTGGTGTGGTATGGCGTGGCGTAGTGCGTGGTGTGCATTCTTGTGCGTACATACGTGTACACTGCTCAAGTGTACAATGTATCGAGTGTTTGTTAACAAAAGCGAGTGTACTTACAATGCATGGTTCTGAATAATATGAACATTTTCATCTGCCGACAGAGATATGATGTTCCACTGATTGAAATAATCAATCAGAAGATGGCTATTAATTAGGCAAACGAACAATCTATCAATCAACTTCCTGTCTTCCATTTCCCGCTCTTTTCATTCAGTACTTCTCATATTTATGACGGCAATGCATTATTAAGCCTATCTACATTTCTTCACGTTAACACGCGCACGCAATCACACGCACGCATACGCACACTCGCACGCACACATGCACGCACACAGTGCTTGCATTTTAAATTTTAAAAACATAAAAAACTAATTGCATACTTTGTTTTAGTTTTTTTTATGCTTGTAAAAAACTACGCAAAAAAAATAATTAAACGTAAAAACAGCTTTATATATGTACAAGTTGCACGACGTAACTACGTCCGTACGCACAGATACGCAAAGCACCCCCCCTACACACACATACACATACAATATATATTCAATTAAATTTATTATCTATCTATTTTTCCATCTATTTATTTATCTATTTATTTTTTTATTATTTATCCAATTATTTTGGTATTCATTGAAACAGATTGAAAAAATTAGAAAAAGAGAGATGAGGGAAAAATTAATTAAAATTGTTTTACGAAACTGACCCTCATCACACGTGGAACCAAAGAATGACGTCATGGTACAATCGCACTCGGGCACTCCTGATTGGTCAGTACAGAGGCCGCCGTGTGAACAGCTGACATCCGAACAGCTGATTGCTGGCTGGTCTACATTCAAATATGAACACTCATCTTAAAATTATTAGGTGATACTAATTATCATATTGTCAATTATCATTAATTTTGTCTGCTTTTATAACGAAATGTTTTTAATAATTTAATAATCGTTTAAAATGTTAGTTATTTTATTAACCAGCAAACATGGTATTATCATCATCTCTCTTATCAGCATAACCATCAATATTATCATCATCGTGGTTTGACACATGACTTCTTTTCATCACATTCACATCAGCATTATCGTAGTGGTTGCTGGCGATGTTTACAACTTTGTCGAAGCCAGTAGTTTTGTTATCATTAACTCCATCACTATCGCTTTCGATCTCAAATTTGCCATTTCTCCCATCTTTATCATTGTCGTTGTCTTCATCACCATCGTCATCAGAAGGGCATCGTGATTTACTAGAATCCTTCCATCTATCCAACAAATTTATTTCTCGCTTGTCAATTAGTAAGGAAGAAATAGAACCAAGGAAATTTTCAATTGAATAAGAAAAGAATGCAGACGACGACGACGACGATGAAGATGATGATGAAGATGATGATGAAGTTGATGATGAAGATGATGATGAAGTTGATGGAGAGGATTGAAAAGATGATGTAGATAATGATGAAGATGATGAAGACGAGGATGACAAAGGCAATGACAATAAAAAAGCAGGAGATGTTAGAGAATCCGACAATGATGGAAATGACTTTAATTTCAATGAAAATAACTTTGATAGCTTCATTTTCAACGAATCCGGCATGCCACCTTGATTAAAGTTGAGTGAAAATTATTTTTGAAACTTTACTTAAACTTTATCATAATCTTTATCATTTTACTTTAATTTAGAATACTTATTTGATCTTCTAAATTTTAAATACGCTCTTAGACTTTAAAAACATTTATTTGTCAGAAACAAATTAAAAATAATAATACAAATTTGCCATTTACGCTGCTCATTATGCTAAAAATTCAAACAGTTATCGCCTGCTATACATTTTTGCAATGTTATGAAACTGAAACAAATTTATAGTTAACCTATGTAAAACTTGTAAAGTATCGTTTCGCCTTCTACTTCCCGGTTGTCATCAGGACCATTTTCATGTTTAGTATCATTTACTTTCTTTAGATACACATCGCCATTGTAGTGATCACCAGTGTTATCATCATCATCGTCATCATTGTGGTTATCATTATGATCACCATCATTATCATCATCACCAACGCGATCAGCATCATCATCATCATCACCTCTTAAATAAACAACATCATTCGAACATTGCCCGTCAATTACTAGGTAATGATAATAAATAGAATAATGACGATGACGAAGATGATGGTGATGATGATGGTGATGATGATGAAGATGGCGACGATGATGATGATGATGAGGGTGGTGGAAAGCAGTTTGCACTGAAAAATTATGAGGACGGAAATGAAGATGGGATTGTTGATGTCTACGTTTATCATGTTTAAGTTGTTTGTATTGTTGTTTGCGTTGTTGTAGATGTTTGTACTCTTCAGTTTGCTGTTGTTGTTGCTCATGATGATGTTGCTGTTGCTGTTGTTGCTGCTGTTGTTGTTGTTGTTGCTCTCGATGATGTTGCTGTTGCTGTTGCTGTTGTTGTTGAAAAATTTGCTTGTTCTCATCCTGTTGTTGCTGCTTATGAGCTGATAATTGTACATAGGGTGACGATTGTTGTTGTTGTCCGTGTTGTTGTTGTAATTTGTGTTGTTTACGTTTTAAATGTTGCAAAACATGTTGCCGATGTTGTTTACAAGAAAATGAACAACAACCCTTGCAATCAACATCCGCACCATCCGAGCTAGTTTTAACCTTTTTATGCTGTTTATGATCAGCATGATAATTATTCTTTAACTGTTCCGACTTATGAAAATGATCTTTGAACTTTCTACTGACACTTCTGCCGATGATGATATGATGCCATTTGTTATCATTGACAGGTATGGCTGAGGACAATCTAACATAACCACTCTCTTGAAAAATATCGTTGTAATGTCTGTCATTATCAACCTTAATATCTTTGTAACTTTTGCTGTTTCTGGCAATTTCATCCTCATCTTCCTTATCACCATCATCTTTTTCATCATCACCATCAGCAGCATCATCATCATCATGTGTTTCTATATTTTTACTGTCATAATTTTTGCTTTTATCAACATGATCGTCGTGCACACGTTTGCGAACAATGCTGTCATAATTGACTGGCCGGTTGTTGATGCTACGATACTTGAACGAATACTGAAGAGAACCGTTTATGACGCGCAGTTGCATGAAGCTCCATACACCGAGAGTTCCTGTCGACTTGTTGCTTTTTATTTTTCTAAATCTTTTATTGCCACTTAGAGAATCGTTTTCAACAAATGAGCTATTTTTATTATTTTTGTTGTTAATATTTTTTTGGATGTTGTTATTTTTATTGTTTCTTCTGTTTTGTTCGTCATCAACTTTAACATTTCCATTGGCAGGAATATTCTCGTGGTGCAGGTGGGCAGCGTAAAGAAGAATGCAGTCATTAATTTGAGAGCTCCTTATCTAGATGAATTTCAAAGTTTCAAGTTTCGGTCAACAATTTTTCAAAAATTTTCAAATTAAAGAAAATGTCGACCATTGTCATTTTCAAATTATTAAAACGCGCAATATTTAATATTTACTTGAAACGTGTGCACATCGTTGCATGCAAATAAATGCCATGTAATATAGATTATTCAACACCGTTGTACTTTTTCAAACTTGTTTTACATTAGTTTTTCTTAAGGTTTTCACATTTTAAAGAAAAAGAATAAATAAAAAATGAAAGAACATGTTTGCTTGCATTTCAAAAAATTTTAACTTGTTTTAAATTGAAAAAGTACTGAATAACTTAGAAGTTTCAATTTTTTGAAACTGGAAGAAGGTGAAATTTTACAAACAAATAAGCAAGAAAAGATGGCCTGCGATTAAATGTTTTAAAAAAAGTTTAAACAACATTTTCATAAAACGTTCCTACCAATTTCACTCACGATTAATATCTTGGAAAATGCTAATTGCTTTGAAAATTAGTCTCATTTATCAGAAAAAAATTAATTACCCGCGCTCAACAATTTTGTGTGACGTCTTAACGCGGGGCCAGCTTAGCTAACGAGATTTGTCTTGAAGCCTGTGATTAATGGATCAATCCCTTGATGACTGCTTAATTGACTCGGATTAATGTTCATTTATCTAATGTTCGTAATTTTTTGTAAAATATTTTTTGCAGAATCTTAAACATATTTCAGCCAATTAAAACGGATATCATGAAATTGAGGATGATAAGCAGTTATTGAAGTACAAAACATGTGCTCACCGCAACCGAACTTACACGAGATTAATAAAATATATCATTCTAAATAAACGCACCTAAATGTAGGTGTGGCTTTTTCAAATATTTGTTGGAGACAAAAGTTGTTAGAATATGATAGAGGCTCGTCAGTGGAATTTTACTTTTTGTTCTCTTGTTTCACACTCTTCAACCTGTGTGAAAAAGATCTGTACACACACATGCCTGCTGGACGACATGCGTGTGCTCAAACTATCGGCATCTGAATGTTTTCAGTAGAACCACGCCAATAAAAAGTTATCATATGAAAACAAATTGTCTTAAAACAAGCTTTTCAAAATGTAATCAAATATTTTATTCAAAAATATTTTTGAAAATTTTTCGAAAAATTCGGAAGTTGCTTCTTTTCGAAACTGGTTGTAAAGCAAATTTATCTAAATCATTTCATTTAAATTATCTTATTAGTTGTGAACGCGAACCTTCTAAAATGAAGTTTGACAGCAGTACGTCGATAAGTATCGTAGATCTAAATAAACATTGGATGTGTAAAAAGTATGCAAACTCATGCAAACTCGTCGCCAAAAAAAATTGATGTTAAGACGTTGCTTAGCCAGAAGTTCGCTGTGGTAGAGCTTGAGTTTTTTAAACTGATAATCGGTTTCGCCTAACATCCTATGGCTACCATCATCTAAATTGAGCAACTCCACAATTTTATAAGCTTTTCAAATTAAATTATCTACAAAACAATTTTGTGAAGCTTGCAGCTCAAAAACAGTTCAGATGCTTTTGTATTCTTACGAGCGTTTGAACATTTCGAAAGAGAGAGAGAGAGAGAGAGAGAGAGAGAGAGAGAGAGAAAGAAAGAGGCAGACAGACAGACAGGAAGAAAAAAAGAGAAAAAAGCAGGAAGTGATCGCACGCACAAGTCACAGGCATTGTTTCGTAGCATCATTAAATTAAAATCTCAACCTACCTTTAATTCAATCTTGAACTCATCTCCCAACCTCTGCAGGAAAGTTACGTATGGTGAAGATGGCGAAGATGGTGATGACGATGATGACAACAATGATGATAATGATGAAGACGCTGAGGATGAAAAGGACGATGATATCAAAGATAACGTAGATGAAGGAAGTGATGCCACTGTTGAGGACGACAGTTGTGATGACAAAAATGATGGAGATGATGATAATATTGATGATGATGGTATTTTGGATGAAAATATCGATGATTGAGGTGAAAGAGAAAGTGGCGATAATGAAAGTGACAATGATGAAGCAAAAGTTTTGGGTTTTTCGTAAAATGTAATGATCCAATTACTTGTCTTTGGCTTGCCATTATATGACATCATAATTACGTCACAGATTAGTGTTTTATTGTCCTCTGACGGTATCTTTAAATGATTTTTAATGTTGTTACTTCTTTTATTGACGACATTTATGTCGAGATTTAATTTTTTGTAATTGAAAGTATGAACGTTTGCGTTCTCTGTCTTGTTCCCTGTGTTGTTGTTGTTTGCGTTGCTGTTTGTATTTTTGTATGTGTTGTTGTATGTGTTGTTGTATGTGTTGATGCCTGTGTTGTTTGGTTTTTTGTCTGTGTTTTTGCTTATATTGTTGAAGCTGCTTTTAACAGTATTTCGTGAATTGTTCCGTGCGACTTGATAAATTTTGTTGT